AAAGTTACTAACTTGGGGGGGTGAGCACACTTAGGAGAGGAATTGGGTTTTAAAAAGGAATTGATTATTATCACTTGAATTATTACTCAAGTTATTATTGAGCTGCGCTATTGGAATTATTTTGAGAATCTTGAGAATTGGTTTTGAATTATGAGGTTTTAGTTATTGAAATAAATATTGGAATTTCATGATTGGTTTTAAAAGCATGTTTTCTAATAAATTGAGTTTACTTATCTTGCACTTATCGTACTTAACATATTTTGCTAATCCGTATTTTGTATTTGTTTTGGTTCGCCCTATTTACCTTAATGGTAAGAAATGTTGACTATTTTTAGGTGGAGTCATGAATGAGCATATGGGAGTCCCGAAATTTTCTTCACCTAGTTTAGGAATGTTGGTTTTTGTCTTTATTTTGAGTACTCATAACAATGATTACTATTTTATAAGTATTAATAAAAGAAGAGTTGAGTTTTCTGCTGCCAGTTTGTTATTGAGTTGAGTATTTTGAGTAGCCTTGCGTAATCACGCGGCGGTAATACGCCTAAGTTTATCTCTAAGGTAAAATTATACGTATTATACTAGTATTTCTGTATGTGGATATTTGGGGGTGTTACACTGTGGGTCTGGTGTTGATAGTTTCTGAGGAGGTGATTTGCGAGGGAGGTTGTGTGAGATGTTATTGTCGGTGGTGAGCAAACTTGTTTAAAGTGGCAGCAAATTTAAGGGGAGGGAGGGGAAATTCAGGATGGGGTATATGGTTTAGGGGAAGGAGGCGGCACCGACAGGGATGGGGGCAGGGGTAGGTTGGCTGGGGCGGTGGGTGGGAGGGTGGTGGTTTTTTTTTTATATAATTTTATAATTAATTATTTAAATAATATTAATAAGAACCAATCAGAGACTACCACGTGGCACAATTAACCTTAATGACTAACGAAGTTAACGACGTTAGTCATTAAGAGCATGTTGTGATATTTTCATGAAACAGAATGGTATATGGTGAATTTAAAAAATTTTGAGGGTATTTGATGAATAAAGTTAAAACTTAGGGGTATTTGGTAAAAAAAAAGTTGTTTTTATTTTAAAATATGCTCAATAATTAAAAACATAATAAAAATATTACAAACTATGTACAGAGATTGCTAAACCACTCAAAAAGTCATACCAACTCCCTTTTCGTGCACCCCGCTTTTGCCAGAATTCGTTTTCAAAGGCAGTGATTTATCACGCCACACCGAATTTCCTCTATACTATTTTACTTGTTTCTTTCCTGACTACTTGTATTAGACCTCTCTTATTTACAACACATATATGACCAATTTTCATGGAATTAAAATAAAAGCGTAAACGAACTAAATGAGAAAACAACAAATTTTACGAGGAAACCTTCCAAGGCCATTTTAGAAGTATAGTCTTTCTCTATTAGGGAGTTTTCTAAAAACCTATTTCACTATAATTAGGCCCCTACTATGATCGAACCCCATAAGTTCCCACTCGGAACTTGTCTAGCTAATAACAATTCCTAACGGGAATCCAGAACTAACTGTATGTAACTTGCTCAGCCTGAATCGATCCTATATTCAGACTCGCAGTAGTACTCCCAAAGTTTGATCCTACTCACTCAGTCTTACACTAGAAGCCTGAACTATATAATTTCGTAACCAGTGTGTGTCCCGGACGATGCCCCAGATTGCTAGTTTGTACTTTGTACTCTTTAATTTGATAATTATATTCAACTGTTTGTATAACTAGTGTGTGATCCGAGTGTTGCCTCGGATGTTATGGGGTTTTATTTATTTATTTATTTATTTTTATCTCATATGTATTTATTTTCTAATCTTGTGAAGAATAAAGAAATTAAATAACCTCTAATTTGAAAGGAATATATAATGTTAATTATGTGAAATTTAAAACACTAATAAAAGTTTGTTGAGATGGTTAGTGCATAACCTTTGTTTGTTGGAGGTTGCGGGTTCGAATTTAGATCAAACCATAATTTATTTATTTTGTTAAGGAAAAATTAATGGGAATAATCCCACCTTTGGAGCGTCCGTGATAAATAATCCCACCTTTGGGATTTTTTTAAATAATCCCACCTTTACCCCCCCGATCTTATTTAATGGTCCCATTTTACTTGGAACCGGCTAACAAGGTAAGTCTTCTTATGTGGACTTGGGTACTCTGATTTCCATCCTAAAAGATGCCAGGTCATCTCTCTCTCCCAAACACCCTCATTAAGGTCAGAAAGAACTCCACCCTTATTAGTCACTTGAACAGAGCTTTCGATGTAGCATGTAAAAAAATTTCGTCAGCCATAATTGAAGCTTCAACCACTTAAGTACGATGCCCTAAAGTCTCAAGCTTCCATTCTTGGTGATATTTGGACAACAAAGAACTCCATTTAGGTAAGTTTTTGAACCTTAATTTCTGCCTGAAATTTTGCTAATATTGTAAGTAAATCTCGAACCTTAATCAATTAAACTCGAAATTGATGATTTTGCCTATTGGATTTCAATTTATATGGTACTTATGGGTGCGAATTGTCGTTTGTTTGTCTTATGTTGTGATTTTTTTGTTGGTTTATGTTAGTTGAGTTCGAACCCTAAATGCTAGGTTTTTGTTGGGTTTTGTTGATTGTTGATTGTGCTATTGTTCCTGTTAATTAAGGTATGGGTGATAGTAAAATAAGCTTGAAAATGTGGCATGGAGGGGTGTTAAAGAAGCTTGAAAATGGTGGGTTGTGTTATATGAATGGGCAAGGTAGAACTTTTAGTGTAGACCCTGATGAATTGTGCTCCTTTTATCTTGTGGAGTTGGCTATGAAGTGTGCTAGATATGATGGTAGAATTTAGGGATTTTTATACTTAGTTCCTGGACTCAGTATGGTGGATGGTTTGAAGAGGGTGACAGATGATGAAAGTATGAGGGAAATGATACAGGTGGCAGAGAAGCACAGGGGGGTGGAGGTATATGCTATGCATGGTGACAATGACCCAATAGCCTTCCCCTCAGAACTACAACCTACTTCCTCAAAATAGACTCAACCCAAAACTGTGAGACCCAAAAAACTTCCAATAAAGAGGGGACCACTAGTTAGATCAAGTCCAAGAAAGAAAAGTCAGCCATTGACTATTGTTGAACCTTCCCAATAAGCCCCTGACAGCTCACTAAAGCCAAAAAAGATGCTCCCACTGAAGTTATTCCCACTCCACCAACCATTACCTTATCTAACCAAAATACATATAAAATAAAATATATTTTAAACCTTAATACCACATCTGAAATAGCTCAGCCCACTCCCTCTTCCATAGTAGTTTCAAACACAAACAATGACCCTATCAACAGTTTTTAGTGGGAAGATTCAAGGCCTGATAAATGATTTAATACTAGATTTTAGCAGTGACAGTGACATAGCCGACCCTAGTTACAACCCACAAGTTGACTAAGGTAAAGGAGTCAGTAGTCAGCCTTTCTTTGGATAAGTGTATATACAGATGATAGTGAAGAGGAGGAGATGTTAGATGTAGAGTTGGATGGTGGTGCTGTTTTAGGTGAAGAGGCTTATGCTTTAGAGGAGGCAGAGGAAGAGTATGAGAAGGAGACTAAAGAGATTTTGAATGAGGAGCTGCAGTCTGACAGTGGGGATGAAGAGTACAACATAGCTAGGAAAAGGGTAAGGGATACAACTGCCCAACTTGTTGATATTGCAAGAAAAATCCAAATTGAAGAAGTTAAGGGTGTAAGCATACATCAGGAGGTTGTGAATAGGACAGAGGTTGGGGAAATTGCAGTTGGTGAACCTTTTGGCCCCTAGAGTGATTATGAAGAGAGTGATGAGGAAATACATACCCCACCTGATAGTGGTGAGGAATATTTGATTCCTAGGAGGAGAAAACGATTAGGACTGTTGGTGTCTAAACAAACAGACTGTGCAACTTTTGAGTGGACAGTTGGGCAGAAATTTGCAAATAGAGAGGATTTCAAGAATGTTGTAGCTAAGTATGCAGTGTTGCAGGGCAGAGATGTGAGTTTTGTTATGATTAACAAACAGAGTTCACAAAGGTTGGGTGTCAAATGCATAGAAAGCTGTCCATTCTATGTGTATGCTTCCTGGGATAGTAGGAGAGCTACAATAGTTGTGAAGATAGTGAAAGGTGCTCACACTTGTCAGAGAAATATGAAGAGGAACAGGCAGCTCAAATCATCTTGGGTTGCAAAGCAATTTCTGGATGTGTTTAAAACCAGGCCACATTGGCCAGCAAAAGAGATTATTGAGTGTGTAAGGAAGGCATACAGGATGCTGGTCACCAGAGACTTTGCCTATAAAGTTAAATACAATGCCCATAGGCTGTTACATGGGTCAATGCATAACCACTACAACAAGCTTGAAGGGTATTTGAAAGCAATAGAGAGTTGCAGTCATGGGACATAATTGGAGCTTGTAACTGACACTGAAAAACAAGCTTTCCCACCAATTTTCCAGAGACTGTTCATATGTTTTGATGGGTTGAAAAATGGGTGGATGCAAGGTTGTAGGAAAGTGTTGGCAGTTGATGCATGTTTCTTGAAGACCTATTTGGAGGGTCAGTTGTTGGCTGCTGTGGGGAGGGACAATAATGACCAAATGTTCCCAGTGTGCTTGGCTATAGTTGAAGGTGAAAACAAATCTAGCTGAGAGTGGTTCTTCAGGAAGCTTGCCGTGTGCCTTAGTCTTGAAGAAGGAGAAGGAATCTCAATCATTTCTGATGAGCATCAGGTATGATTCCTAACTTAATTATTTAGATGAGCTAATTCTATATACTTTGCCTATAATAGTGGACTATGCACAATTAAATTCTTTGTAGTTTGTTTTGTAATTTGATAGAGTATAGTGCATAGTGTCTCAACTGTTCTGCCTAAGGCAGAGCATAGACAATGCTAGACACATATTTGCTCACTATCACAAGAAGTATAGAGGAGATGAGATGAAATTATTGTTTTGAAGGATTGCAAAGTCATACAATATGGCTGATTACAATGAAGGACTTGAGAAGCTTGCAGAGTTGAATGTGGATGTAGCCAATGACTTCAAATTGTATAGGCTTGAATTATTCTACAGAGTTTATCTGAATCCTGCAGTTAAGACTAATGCAATTACTTCAAACATAGAAGAGACATTCAATAGGTACATCATTCAAGCAAGGACCAAACATTTGCTCTACATGTTAGAAGACATAAGAGCAGCTTTGATGCAGAGATTGGTGGTGAAAAGGCAAGCTACGATGAAAGTCACCTTAATGCTTTCTCCAAGAATTCAATCGAAGTTGGAAGCTGAGAAGGAAAAGGCTACAGAATGTGAAGTAACTCCTTCCTCTGAAACCCTTTTTAATGTTAATTACAACTTAGATCAACTAGTGGTGAATTTGGAAAGTAGGAGCTGTACTTGTAGGAAATGGGACATGCTTGGCATCCCATGTTGCCATGTAGTGGCTTCCATATATTTTGTGGGCAAGGAACCAGAGCTGTTTGTGGATAAATGCTACTACAGGGACACTTATTTGTCAGTGTATGCAGGTAACTGATCTACCATTAAGGCATGCATTTTGGTCTTATACTTTAGTTGTGAACTAATGCCTTTCTTTTCTTGATTTTGTTAGGCTCCATTCCACCAATTCAAGGTGAAAGATATAGGCTAGTAGTGTCTATGCCTATTGATCCTCCACCAATTAAAATTGGTCCAGGGAGGCCAAGGAAAAATCGAATCAAAGATCCATATGAGAACCCCAAAAAATTTGGTTCCTTGACAAGAACAGTGATTGAAATGACTTGTTCCCCTGCCAAATGAAAGGGCATGATAAAAGAAAGTGCCCTAATAAGGACAATTTATAACCACCTAAACCTACTCCAAAAAGGTCTAGAGGGAGGCCTCGCAAGGATACTGAACATACAGTAGCACCACAAACTACAACTGCAGCTGCACGTCAACCTACACCAACATCTGTACAAGCCACTTAGGCTACACCATCTTCTAACCAACAAATTGATACAACCCACCACTCCCTAAATGCTCAACCTACCATACTTGGTAGAGGAGGAAGAACAATACTAATGGGTAGGGGATCAAGGGGTGGAAGGGGTATAGGAGGTGCTGCTGCCAATGTTGGGAGAAGAAGATGGATAGATGTTGTTGTAGGAAGGGGAAGAGGTTCAGATCAAACTACAGGAAGGGGAAGGGGTTTAGATGTTGTAAGAAGGGGAAGGAGTTCAAATGTTGCTGGCTCTAGCAGAGGTGCTTCAAGTGGGAACAAGGGAGCAGGAAGGGGCAGGGGCAGAGGAAGGAACCAGGTGTATTTTCCTACTTGTACATAGCTTATTTGTATGTTGTAACTTGTATTTTGTTACTTATTTGGTGATGTGTTATAACTGTTCATGTCCCAGAAGGTGTAGGTGTATTCATTGCATTAGATGGATCTGCATTGACTAGTGTATATGCCTTTATGTTGTCACTTTAAGTGTGTTTGATTTAGCTTGCAAATAATGTTATACTAATGTTAATTTGTTGTTGTATCTGTGTGCAGACCCAAGCCAATCAAAGGAGAGCAAGATCAGCTATGGATTGGTTCCAGTGCAGTCAAGAAAGTCAAAGTTCCACCTTACATCAACTAACTCAATAGTCAACTAAGTAATGGCATGAACTGTGACTCACTTTTGGTGTAATTAACTAATCAGTGTTTAGACAAAACTTTGTTTATGTAAGCTTTTGGGAACAGTCTTTTGGGCATGTTGGCTTATAGAAGTCGATATGCATATTACAATGTAATGGCATGAACCATGGCAGGGTTCATTTTTTGTTTGTTGGACAAAACATTGTCAACCTATTTTGTTTAATATAACAACTTAACCAATGTGTTCATTTCTATATGATAATTCAAGTTGTAAGCAAATCATTGTTAAAATAACTTCCATTAATTCATCAAATAATTGCAACATACATATCTTGCTACCCATAACAACAAGGTTCTTTGACCCACCATACATGTTACAAATGCCCAAAATACAATCATTTCCCAACCTAAACTAACTTATAAAGTCTAACCTACCATCATCTGCACAACGTCACTGTCATGCCTTCGAATACACTAACAGAAAATCAAAGAAAATCCATGACCCAAACAGAGCAATGGAGAAGTATTTTTCATTCCTTGACGCCTTCATTAGTTCAATAATAGTGTGGCAGAGCTCCATTTTGGTATCATTCAACTCATCCTCCTTAATTCCCAAATTCTTCTCAACTTTCTTCAACTGCTCCTTCGTGAAATCAATTTCAATCTCTTTTTCAGCAACTTGAGTATCTCTTTCAAAAACCTGGAATCGTACACGTAGATCTTCAAGGTCCTTATTGTTAGCATTAACCCACTGAAAGAATCCATAATCACCCTCTTGTAAAAAAAAAAAAAAAAAAAAAAAAAACCCAAAATCAATTGAATGTGAAAACCCTAATTTGATTTTCCCAATTGAATTATCTTACAAACAGTTGAATAGCATAAACAAAAAATTGTCACTTCCCACCATACTTACAGGCCATTTAGGGCATCCATAGAACTTCATACCCACATTATCACCATTCCTCACCGTCCGAATTATAGCTTCTACACCGCATTTGTACTTCAATTTTGGGGAACCCCAACCAAATGACCTTGACGAAGATGATCAATTTGAACCAATCTGCCTCCTACAGTCCTACTAGCCATTACAACCAAATTTCAGAGAGAAGAGAGGAATTTGATAGTGGAATTTGAGCAACAATGGCGTTTAATTTTATTTGGAAATAGAGAAAAAAGAAGAAGACCCAACAATTAAGGGACGTGGCATTTTAAACAAAATAAAAAAAAAATTTAAAAGGAATATAACCGTTGGAAGCCACGTAAGACTAATACCGACTACAATAAGTGACATAACTAGTAGGGACCATTAAAAAAGATCGAGGGGGTAAAGGTGGGATTATTTAAAAAAATCCCAAAGGTAGGATTATTTATCGCGGACGCCCCAAAGGTGGGATTATTCCCAGCAATTTTCCCTTTTGCTAAATGAAATTGCGAGCTTACGTGTCGCATGTACTTTGAATAGTGACATGGCATTGTTACTTTGAATACTGACGTGGCATTGTGACATGGTGTTATATACGTTGAAGAGTGTCACATGGCACAGTTCCTTTAAAAGGAACGCCTTTTAATATATAGTATAGATTACAGTAACAAGAATCCTCATTAATTCTCACACCGCAAATACCAATAACAACGCAATGAATAACTTTAAAATAGTAGTATGGAAAGCAACACATAAAACCCGAAACTAATATGACAAAACTTGAAATAAAAGAAGTTGAGTCATAAAAATTTGATTATGGTTGAAAAATTGTGGTATCACAAAAGTACAGTGCCATAGTGGTATATACTTCCTCCGTTTTTAAGTGCTCCATAGTGACATTTTACGTATGTCAATGCAAAACTTTAACCGTTAATATCTTTAATTATCATCAACTACAAATTATATACCAATTAAATATTAATAAGGATTAATACCGTTTTTTAATCCCAACTTTTACCAATTTAGTTTCATTAATCCCAACTTTGGATTATTTCTTAATAATCCCAACTTTAAGGTGACCTATCTTTCTTCAATCCCAAAAACCGGTTACTGGTTGAATGGGTTAATTTTTTTTTTTTTTTTTTGTTAAAGTGACATGTGTCGCAAATTATTGGTTAAAAAATTAAAAAAAAAAAAAACAAAATAAAACCAAAAAAAAAACAATTAAGAGAGAAAAAAAAAAAATCAAAGCCCCCAGCCCCCCTTTTACGGCCTAAATGACCACCCTACGCCGCCGTCTACAGCCCACCCCTTCCCCTTCCCATCCCCACCTCTCCTTCCCTGGCAACCTAACCCACCATCACCAACGTCGTACTCGCCATAAAACCCACCACCTATAAACCCACGAAATCCCACAAAATCCACCATCACCACCGCCGTAATCGCCATAAAACCCACAACATCCCACAAATTAGTGGTTGGTGTTGGTCGCGTTTATTAAGGGGGGTCTGCGGTGTAGTGTTAGTGACAGTTGGTGTCGATGTTGTTGTAATTGGTTGTAGTGTGAGAGAGATGCGAGGGAGCAGTGGTTGAGTAAGGGAGATGCGGTTGTCGGGGTAGAGTGAGGGAGATGCGGCGCTGCTGGTTGTGAGGGAGACTCGGGGTTTGTGAGTGTTGTTGTTGTTGTGGTTAGTGGGTCTGGTGTTGAGGGTTTGTGGTGGTTGGTGTTTTGGGTGGTGGCGAGGGTTTCGCGGTGTTCAGGGAGTTTAAGGGTGGCACTAGGGTGCAAATTGCTGCGATTTGTGGGGCTATGTGGGTGGCGACTGATTGGTGGTGGAGAGTTGCGATGTTTGGTGATTTTGGAGGTGCGAATGGACTGGCAGTGGTAGTGGAGGTTAGGGTGGGATTAATTAGATGGTGGTTTCCGTTGGGGGCTAGGGAGGAGGCGGTGGGGCTGCGGTGGGATGGAGGTGCCTGACTGGTTTGTTGTGATTTTTGGTTTCTTTTTGTTATTTATTTATTTATTTATTTATTTTTAAATTTTTGGACCAATCAGGACTTGACATGTGTCAAGTGACCTGGTAAAACAGGTTAAGAAACCGGTTGGGTAGGAGGAATGATAGGCCATGTCAAAGTTGGGATTAATAAAAATAAATTGGTCAAAGTTGGGATTAAAAAATGGTATTAATCCTATTAATAGGTCAAAGTTGGGATTAAAAAAAGGTATTAATCCTATTAATAACCTACTCATTGAGACGATTAAACAAGTACCCACAAGAATATATGTTTTCTTATCTAATTTACAAACATTGGTCTAAGTTATGTTTAATGAATAGTGCCAAAATCCCCAATGAGACACTTAAAAAAAAACGAAGGGAGTAGAAGCGTTTATGCTACCTAGAAAAGTGGATGAAGAACTTATGTTAATGTTAAGAGTTTATTTATTATTTTTTATTTTCAAGGAAAAATTGTTAGGAAGGTCCTTTTAAGTCGTCGACCTTGTGAGGAAGGTTCTTTTATGAAAAATGTGGCACAAAAGGTCCTTTTATGGCGTTTGGGTTGTGAGGAAGGTCCTTTGACCAAACTCTAGCGTTGACCTCCGTATTCCGGTCAAAAAAAGTCACATGTTGTGCACGTGACCACTTAAATCAACCTTTTTTTTTTTCTTTTTCTTTTTCTTTCCTCTTCATCTTCTTCCTCCCTTCAATGCCTGCAACTTAGAGTGATTGTAGTACCCAACACCCACAAAATGCCAACCCATACCCCAACAAATTGAGAGGGGTAACATTATCCTTAATCACAGACCACAAAAACGCAATCAACAACCAATCTTTAACAACTCCAGCAACATTCATAGTCAAAGACGATGTCTTCCCAACAAGAAAGAACACATCAAGATTCAAGGCAAAAGCACAAACAGAATTCGTCCCAAATATAAACCAATCTAGATGAAAACTCGACGAATCCCTTAGAATTGGGTACTCTACAATCATCCAAGGAATTGATAGAAACGCTAAACAATAAGGAGCAACATAATAAAGTGATGTAATCGGATTAAAACTAATACCATTTGTAGTTAACAAGATCTGAATCATTACCAATCTAGTAGCTTCAAATGCAACTGCCCTCAATTGTAGGGTTACACCCTAAGCATCAAATTTCGCCTCACCATAAGCAGCAATTGCAACCCCAAATGAAATCGACATCATATTCGCCATCGTTCCGCCTCGAAAGCTATCCTTCTTAAACATGACTCCA